ATCAAAAAAAATCAAACCGTTGGCTTAAGGAATCGATATTGTATCGTGTCGCGAGGAAAGCTGTGATTTACACCCCTAGTTATAATAGTGCTGTATCGCAGTTCTGGTGATGACTATGAAAAAGTTATCGTGGATACAATTGCAACTGGTTACAATATATTATTGTCATATTGCCCACCACGACCTTAAACCCACGTATGGGAAAGTGGCAATGCAGGTGTGTTTCATAGGACTCCTCAGAAGTTCGTCTCAATCTCAATGTTGTCTCCCCACGCAGACCCTGTGGTTCAGATTGCTGTCGACAACTCCCGCAACATCCTCTACACACGCTCTGAAAAGGGGGTTCTACAGGTAGGTACCAGTAGGTTAAGGGTCTCGACCTCTATCCAGAAGGTAGTGGATTCTAACATTAGCAGGGGTCTCGGCAGAGGGTGTCCTGGATGAAAACGGTGAAATACGAAAAATTGGCCCAGGTTAGATTTAAGTGCTTTATTCTGACATCACATATCAAGGTATGAGTTTCTGCCATTGATTGTGGGGTTTCGCTATGAATGTCCTGAAATACATATTTTATCTGTCTTAATTCTGTGAATGTCTGTCAATTACTGAAAGAACAAGTCATGCAGTACCGATCTCGTTTGTTCACCATTAATGATCTCGTGATGCATCTTTTATCATAAGTTGTGACTATATTTGTTCATAATTTGTACTTCAGTAGTAACTGAGTTATTACCAGTTATTAGTGCTCTGTCAAATAAAGTTTAAATGTCACATTTCTGGACAGAAATAAGTTTAATCATAAGTTGATGCTCTTACCTGCTGGTACCTGCTAAGAGTCAAAAGGAGCTTTAAGTTCAGCCGCGATGACGAGCTGCGCTGCTTTTCTGCAGATGTACGACCTGGGTGCGGACGGGCAGGGTATGAGCAGAGTGGCTGCCATGTCCCAGAGCTCCATCGTGGCAGCAGCGGGAAACATCGCCAGGTGGGCTCAGTCAGGAGTGGGGTGACCGGGGGGGCGCGTTGGCTTACTGGTACGCTGGCTGACTGATGTGTGTCCCCAGGACCATCGACCGCTCTGTGTTCAAGCCCATCGTCCAGATCGCCGTGATCGACCGGTCGGAGTCCCTGGACTGCCAGCTGCTGGCCATTACACACGCGGGTACGGCCACTCGCCAGGCGCTCCCTGCGCTCTCTGCCCCCTGTGCCGTCCCACTTTCAGCCGCCTCTGTGTGCCCGCAGGGGTGCGCCTGTACTTCAGCACCTCGCCGTTCGCCCTGCCCAGTGCCAGACACACCCCTGCCCGGCCCAGCCTCCTGGTGCTGATCCACGTGCGCCTTCCGCCGGGCTTTTCTGCCTCTTCTACACTTCAGAAGCCCGCCAAGGTTCACAAGGCGCTCTACACCAAAGGTAGCCCCGCCCCCTCGTGTCTGGCCCCGCCTCCCGTCAGGCTGGTTCTGAAACACGACACGTGAGCTGAAGCTGCCCCCGCTCTTTAATCAGGGGTCCTGCTGATGGCCGCGTCAGAGACTGAGGACAGCGACATTCTGTGGTGCATGAACCATGATTCCTTCCCCTTCAAGAAGCCACTCATGGAGGCTCAGGTTGGCTATGCTGCCTCACAGCCGTTGGGGGGGGGGGGTGTCACCCTGGCCAGCAGAGCACAGGTGAACTAGGCTCGCTCTCTTGACTGTATCTCTGCAGATGACCACCAATGTGGATGGCCACACATGGGCACTGTCCACCATTGAGGAGGGCAGGGCAGCCAGGATCTCCACACCGGTCAACAAAGACCTGGTTCCTCTCACGGACTCCCCCGTCGTGGTGCAACAGCACAATGTGCCGCCCAAGAAGTTTGTGCTCCTCTCTGCCAAGGTGGGTAACCAAGGAAGGAGATGTTTGGGGCTGCCACTGTGCTCCGTCTGTCTGTCGGCCTGCCACTGTGCTCCGTCTGTCTGTCGGCCTGCCACTGTGCTCCGTCTGTCTGTCGGCCTGCCACTGTGCTCTGTTTGCGTGTCTCTCTCTCTTTGTCTCAGCACTTCTGTAATTCTTGATTCGGCGACAGCTCCTGAGAGACTTTTATACAAACGTGTTTGATTGACTGCTCTTCTCAGGGGAGTCACATCTTCCACAAGCTGCGGCCTGTGGATCAGTTGCGCCACCTGCTGGTGAGCAGCGGTGGTGGTGAGGGAGAGGAGATCGACCGCTTCTTCAAGCTGCATAGGGTAGGTGTGCGGCCGGTGCCCCCCCCCCCCTACCGCGATGTGTTGCTTGGCCCTGGTACTGCAGTCTGATGTGCGTCTCCACACAGGAGGAGCAGGCTTGTGCCACCGGTCTAATTTTGGCGTGTTCCAGCGCCGCCTGCGACCGTGAGGTGTCAGCGTGGGCCACCCGGGCCTTCTTCAGGTCGGCTCTGTGTGCCTTTGCGTGTGTGTACTGCTCAGGCAGCCATATCCCTGTCACCTCTGACGTCCCCGGTCCCCGTGCAGGTACGGAGGCGAGGCCCAGATGCGCTTCGCCTCGGCCCTCGCCGCGCCCAGCAACCTGGGGCCCCTCTTCGGCTCGCCCGTCCCAGGTCAGCCTGTCATCTCTGTGCATGTCAGCAAATGAGGTCAGATATGCGAAGCCACATGATGCAGTTCAAAGGTCACACGCTGGTGTGTCTCCGCCCACAGGGTCCCCGGTATCTGTGGGCAGCCCCCTCCCCAACCCCAGCTTCCTAGCCACACCTGCTCCAGGTAGGGCACCTCACCCTGGGTGGGAAAGGCTGGCTGTCCTGCTCAGATGTACTGTGTGTCAGGTGAACGTGGTGTGTGGATAATGTCAGCTGATGCTGGGGGCAGGATGGCAGAGGTGCTTTATTAAGCTTTGCTCTAAGCTGCCCCTTCCCCTCCCAGGTCTGATGCCCGCCAGCATGTCCACACCCTTAATCCCTGCCAGTCCTGGGGCGCCCTCTCTGACTGGGGGATCCGCAGGCCCCGAGGTGGTCTTCTCTGGGAAGCACAATGGCATCTGCCTGTACTTCAGCCGCATCCTGGGGTGAGGGTCCACCGGCCACGCTTGGGGTGGTGTAATGCGGATGCACTCCTGCTCGCTCACTTCTCCCTGTCCTCAGGAGCATCTGGGACAGCAGCCTGGCCGTGGAGAAGCCCGTCAGCAGAGGGGGCCAGACACTGAGCGTGGTGAGTCGCAGTGCGGGGCAGTGGCTGCAGGTTGAAGGGCGAGGCCTGCGTGTCGCGGCTGCATGTCTGTTAGCTGTCCGGTCTGTCTCGCCGCGGGGGCGTGGTGCATGGTGGTGATGTCAGTGATGATGAGCGGTCAGATGCTTCGTTACTGTCTGTGGGGAGCTGAGTGGCCAGGAAGTTCAGTAACTGGTTCCTGTGGCCTTATTTTCGGATTCCTACCGCAGCTGATCTATAGAAAAAAATCAGTAAATGCGAGGTGTAGCCGTGATGTATATCATTATCGGGATATGAGATTTTGGTCATATGGCACAGCCCTGTTAACCAGTATTTTATGTATCTTTACATATTGTTTGTATGTAATGCAATATAATAATAAATATATTCACTCAAGATAACAAGCACTTGGTTCAGCAATACTTGTCAGTAGCGCTACTCAAGTACAAGGGCAGAGCAGTGACAGTGAGGTCTGCGCAGTGCTTACGGCGTATCATGTGAAGCCCACTAACAGTGTCACGCGATGTCTGTGCCCCGCCCCCAGATGGAGAGCTCCGTCAGCTCCCAGCACTTGGAGACCGTCCTCTTTGAGCTCTGCGGCCTGAAAGACTTCCTGGACAGGAATTCTCAGTTCAGCCCTGCCTCCCTGGGTGTGGCCAGGTAGCTAAGCCCCGCCCTTTCACCGGCCTTGTCATCCTTCAGGCTCTTAGCTGATATTTCTGTTCCCCCCCCCCCCCTCCACAGCTTCAGCACCTCAGCCAATCTGCAGCAGCGACTTCTGGGCTTCATGCGGCCAGATGGGGGCAGCAGCTCTCAGCAGGTACAGCAGGAGCTCCAGAGGAAGTACCACAGTAAGTCCCACTTCCTTTCTGTCCCTGTTTCCCTCACTCTCCCCGCACTCTGTACCACAGTAAGTCCCGCTTCCTTTCTGTCCCTGTTTCCCTCACTCTCCCCGCACTCTGTACCACAGTAAGTCCCGCTTCCTTTCTGTCCCTGTTTCCCTCACTCTCCCCGCACTCTGTACCACAGTAAGTCCCGCTTCCTTTCTGTCCCTGTTTCCCTCACTCTCCCCGCACTCTGTACCACAGTAAGGCCCTGTCCCTTTATGTGTCCCTGTCACTGTCCTCTCACTGTTCCACAGTGAGTCCCTCTACCCAGTGTATCACTGTACTGGCCCGAATATAAGACGACCCCCCCCCCACACACACACACACACACACACACACTTTTTCTATTTGTTAGAAAAAGTTTTTGGAATACCAAATGTTACTTTTATAAAGAAAAACAATTGTATTTCACAAGAACATATAAGTTAACCAGCAACTGCAGCTTAAAAAGCAACCACAGGCAATCAAATTACTATAGGTGTATTAAACAGCGGCACAGCCAGGGAAGCCAGCAATTTACATGACACACGCTAAACACACGCACTGCCACTGTGGCCAGCTCTCACACATCTGGAGTGACACTCAGGGTCACGCTAAACACACGCACTGCCACTATGGCCAGCTCTCACACATCTGGAGTGATACTTTTTGACTCTTAAAAATCTTACAGCAAATCTATATCGCTCGTTACAAAATATCGTATTTGGTGCCGTCTATTCCCCTTCTTGTCTATATCCCGAATATAAGATGACACTACTTTTTCAGACATATTTTGAGACAAAAAAACCCCGTCTTATATTCGGGTCAACATGGTAATTGATGCATTCAATGTAATTGAGGTACAAAAACAATTTCACCTGCTCGATTCTTGCTGCACTACATCTTATTTTCTGCATTTCGGCGTAACTTCCATGTTAGCGCCGTTGCTTGTGGTCAACCAGTCAGCAAATTTATCTCTGTAAGCGTCTGCCCAGTAGTGCATGTTCGAATGAAAAGTACCGAGTCTGGAGCAGATACTAAGAAAGGGTTCTGGAACTTCCTCTGAGGAACTGAGGGCCAAGTTCCTGCACCTAGTGAGTTTGTTCCCTCGCTCTGACACTCGTCCCGTGTGCTTCACAGCGGAGGCGCAGGCCTACGAGAAGGCGTCCCTGCAGGGAATTCAGCAGCTGGTGCATCGTTCCTGCCAGACGCTGGCGCTGTGGAAGTTGCTGTGTGAGCATCAGTTCAGCCTGATCTTGGCCGAGTTGCCCAAGGTGCGTGCGTGCATATGCGTGCTCTCCTTTCGAGTGCGATGCTGTCCCACTCCTCCTGACGTGATGGACATACCCCTCCGTGCATCAGGAATTCCAGGAGCAGGTGAAGAGCAGCAGCTTTAAGGACGTGGTGATCCGGGGCGGCGAGCTGACCGGGGCTCTGATCACCGCTCTCATCAACGTCTACATCAAGGACAGCGCCTCCGTGGACACCATCAGCCTGCACCTGCGCGACATCTGCCCCCTGCTCTACAGTTGTGACGATAGCGTCTGCTCTAAGGTGCCCCCCTCCCCCCCTCTCAGCACACAGCCCAGCCCCACACCCCGCTTTGGTACAGCCCTCTGACTTCTGACCTCTCCACTACAGGCAAATGAGCTGCTCCAGGGTTCCCGGCAGCTACAGAGCAAGTTGGAGCGGGAGCGAGCGCTGAGGGAGTCCCTGCGGCTCTACCAGCAGATCAGCCACCACACAGATCTGCAGTTGGTGTGCGCGCAGTACCGTAGTGGTGAGTACTAGGTACTGAGTACTGGCTACTGAGTACCAGTACTGACTACTGGGTACAGAGTACCAGCTACTGAGTACTTCCTGGTCGCGCCTGTGTGTGACGCCCCCTCTTGCTGCCCTCGCAGTGCGTTTCTACGAGGGCGTCCTGGAGCTTTGTCTCACAGCGGCTGATAAGAAGGACCCCCAAGGGCTGGGCCTCCACTTTTACAGAAACGGGGAGCCAGAGGGAGACTCGGCCGGACAGCTCGCCTTTCAGGAGAGGTAGAGGCCGCCGTCCTGAGCCACAGTGGGCTGGTGCGGCGGCCCATATTAAAGCATCACCCCGTCCCACAGGCTGTCCAGCTACAAGTGTGTGACTGACACCATGCAGGAGCTAGTGGCCCATAGCACGGTGGCCCCCCAGTCCCCCAGCGTGCCCAAGCAGCCCGGCCCCCCCGTCATGACCTCTGACCCCAATATGCTGAGCAACGAGGATGCCGCCGCCCACGTGAGTCAGCACGCCATCGGAGGCCAGCCTGGCCGGCAGGGACAGGCGTCACCCATGTGTCACTCCTATCCCCCCCCCCCTCTGCAGTTTGAACAGGTCCTGCAGCTGGCGCAGAGGTCACAAGATGAGCTTTTCCACATTGCCCTCTACAACTGGCTGATCCAGGCAGACCTGACGGAGAAGCTGCTGGAGGTACGTGGAGGGGGGCCTGCGGGCCGCGGGGGGCTTTGGGCGGAATCAGTCCTGGTGTGAGTGGTTACCTCTGCCCCAGGTCAACTCGCCCTACCTGGAGGAGCACCTGATGCGGATGATCAAGCAGGACCAGAACAAGGTGCACAGCATGGACCTGCTGTGGAGGTACTACGAGAAGAACCGCAGCTTCAGCAAGGCGGCGCACGTCCTGGCCAGACTGGCCGACATGCACAGGTAAGGACGCGCCTTACGGGGTGGGGGCTGCTGACCCCGACGCTCCCCTGACGCCTCCACCCCCCTCCACCCCTCCCCGCAGCACGGAGATCTCCCTGAAGCAGAGGTTGGAGTACATCTCCAGGGCCATCCTGTCAGCCAAGAGCTTCTCTGGCACCTCCTCTCAGGGGGCTGACGGCGAGTTCCTCAACGAGCTGGAGGAGAAGATGGAGGTATGGAGGAAGGGGGGCACCAGCGAGAGCACGTGGGGGAGGAGCCCCGCAGGCCCGTCGCTCATAACCTTCATGCTACCATAGGTGGTGCGGATCCAGGTGCAGATCCAGGAGACTCTCAGCCGGCAGTACTCCCAGCATCCTTCAGTGCAGGCAGCCGTGTCACAGCTGGACTCTGAGCTGATGGACATCACCAAGGTACGGCCCTCGGTCTGAGAAGCCAGCCGCAAACCCCCCCCACTCCTGGTGGTATTAAGCCCCCTGTCCCCCCTCCCCCCAACCAGCTCTACGGTGAGTTTGCGGACCACTTCCGGCTGTCGGAGTGCAAGCTGGCCATCATCCACTGTGCCGGCCACTCAGACCCCATCCTGGTGCACTCGCTGTGGCAGGAGATCCTGGAGAAAGGTCAGCATCCTGGGGGGCGTGGTCTGGACTGCCCTGCCCTCCTCTCCCCACTGGCCACACAGCTCACTGTTTGTTTTCTTTCGCTGTTCTCCCCCCTAGAGCTGAGCGACAGCGTGACCATGAGTGCGGGTGACCGCATGCGAGCTCTGAGCCTGAAGCTGGTGTCCCTGGGCAGGATCTACGCCGGCACGCCCCGCTACTTCCCCCTGGGTGAGATGCTCCTTGCGTGCATCAGCGTACCCGCCTTCCGTCCTCTGTTGATGTCTGTAATTGCCCCACCCTTGCCCCCTACTGGACGTGCCCGGGCTTGCCCGTCCTAGCCCGTGCGTCCATCCCAGGAGGCGCGGGGGTTTGGGGGAGGCGGTGCTACTGGTCTGAGGCTCACGTTCCCACTGCAGAGTTCCTGGTGAAGTTCCTGGAGCAGGAGGTGTGCCGGCTGCACTGGGACGTGGGGTTCACCACCTCCACCATGCTGGAGATGGGGGTGCAGCTGCCCAGGTTGCTGGAGGTGTACGACCAGCTCTTTAAGACGCGGGTAAGAGTTGGGGCCGCGGGGCAGGGAGCTGAGCCGTGCGTTAGAGCCCGACGGCGAGACTGATCTGGGGTCGCTGTCCCCGCAGGACCCCTATTGGCAGCGCATGAAGAAGCCGCTGCACCTGCTGGAGTGCATCCACGTGCTGCTCTCGGGCTATGTGGAGGACCCCAGCCGCGTGCCCGCGTACGACAGGTACTGCCTCGATGGGCCACTGGCACCCCCCCCCCCTCCCATCCCCACTGACCGCGCGTGCGCTTGCTTGCAGGAGGAGGTTCACCAACGTGTGCCTGGACAACATCTGTGGCTACCTAGTAGAGCTTCAATCGCTGAGCCCCAGCGCCGTCCTGCAGCACGTCATCGGCAACTTCAAGGCCCTGCAGTCCAAGCTGGAGAAGGTGCACTGAGAGCTGGGGGAGGTCGTACATGTGCAGGATGCCTCACCACTGAACCCCCCCCCGCCCCCCACCATCACCACCACAACCACCCAAACAGAGGCGGATCTCAGCCACCGTCTTTCTTCCACACATTTTCATCCCTTTAATTGTTTTGCATGTTCAACAGTTGGAGGTCTGAATATTAGCAGCGTGGGTTTGACGGAGGGTCAAACTACCTTGGTGACACCCCCCCCCCCCCCCCTTTTGCAGACACCGCTGCTCATTTCCCGCTGAACCAGGCCTGGTGCTCTCACTGTAAACTTCCTGTGATATTCCAGTGGCTGGTGTTCTGCAATATGCCCCACATCCCCCCAAGGGTGCCATTGTGCTTCTCTGTGATAGACGCACTTCGATCATTCCCAGGGGTGGGCATTAACAGCACAGTACACACATCTGACGGCCCCCCGAGGGTATGGGGGCCCCCGTGCGTGTTACGGAGCCCTGCTTGCACTAAGGGGCCCCGGCTGTGGGATTGTTAGTCGGCTCATTTGCCCTGGGATTTCCGTTCTCCTGCTGGCACCCTCAGTGATCCTCTAATCAGGCACTGGGTTTGAATGGACAGTGCCCTGTACCTCTAGCAGGTGGGACCCTGAATTTTCCTCCTTTTGTTTAGGGTGCAGCCCAGTCCTCCCCACCAAAGAGGAGTTCTGTACTTTAAAACCTGACTCTCACTGCTATTTTATAATAAACTTTTTATGTAAATCAACCATTTAGGTTTGTTTTGTATGTTTTTGATATAGGCCTTGCTGATTGATTTGTATTGTAATAAAAACTGAAAGCACTGAGAAATTTGTCTTGGATTTAATATCATAATAAACATGCCGAAAATAATCTTTATAGCGTGGAGATTGATGTTCAGCCGGTGTCAACATGGATGTGTTTAACATCCATACAGAGACTGCACCCAAAATGATTACCATCTTCTTTATGGTGCCCCCAAGAGGCTGCTGTCATGGCAGGTGCATGAGTTTACCCAATTAATGAAATTGTCCTGTTCCTTGTTGACTTGTGTATGTTGACACAGTGGCCTCTGATGAGCTGTAATTATACGTTTGGTCACAGTGGACACCCAGCTCATTGATGTTCATATGTGAGAGATGGTGGCTTTCATCACCCTCCAGGTGGTCTCCAAATCTTTTTAATTAATCAGGTTTGATCACCCCTTAATTTCTTTTACCTCTTTGGTCTGACCTGCAGGAACGCGACTAGAGTCGTATGGTACAACAGAAAAGTCACACACTGCTGGTGAACACAGTTGTCCTTTATAAATGAATCCTTATACTTCTGCTAGATCATTACCTCATACATGGAATACTAGGTTGACCGTACGTCCAGGAACATGCCTCCCTGGAACATTTTTGGTGCTTTCACCCTCGACATGAGCAGGTCAGCTTTCTGATGCCGTAGAGGAAGATGTAGGGGATGATGCTGGTGTAGGAGGAACCGGCGTATGAGGCTACATCCATCAACACGGACGACTCATTGATGTTGTTGTAAATGCGCGATAGCAGATGGGTCAGCCAGCAGACCAGGAAAATGCTGGCCACAGCCACCTTGCTCTTGGCTGCCCTTACTTGGGTGCCAGCGTTCGGTGTGGGCTTGCTGGGTCGTGGGGGTGGAATATTTTTAGCCCCTCCTGCCGCTGTCCCCCCTGGCAGGCTGGATCCTTCTGGCCCAAGCGTCTGGGGGGCAGGGGGTGGGTCAGCACCCATTCCCTGGATGCGGTTCCGGTGTCGGAGTAAGGTCACCACGATCTGTACGCTAGCGAATAATATTCCAGAAATGGGCACGACATTAGCCAGGGTCAAGTACGCGATTTCATAGATTTCCTTGGCTTTTTGAGAAGGAAACTCTACTATGCATTTAGCTGCTGTTTGGTTCTTGGTTTCCAAGACGCCGTAGATGAGGTTGGGGAAGCTGAAGAGCACAGCGACAGCCCAACTCCCAGCCAGCAGCGGGGCGATCAGGCGGAGGCTGTCCAGTGCCACTCGGGCTCCACCCCGCTTCAGCGACCACACAAGCTTCTGGTACCAGAACAGACTGATCAGCAGGGTGGAGAAGATGCTGCTGGTTTCAGAGAGGTCTGAGAAGAACCAGTACATCTTGCAGTATATATTCCCCAGGAACCATCCGCCAGCGAACTCCGACATGGTATCAGGCACATCCACCAGGACATTGGTGATGAGGTTGGAGACGGCCAGGTTGAGGAATAGGGCTTCGTTGGTACGGAGCTGAGATCTTCTGCTGGGCAGAGTGCGAATTGCCAGCCAGCTATTTCCCAGAATCCCTAGCAGGCACATGAGAGCTCGGATGCAAGGCTCAATAAGCTTGACGATGTCCATCTGAAATAAATGCTTTAGTTCCCTTGCAATGTGAACTGATAGGTGTGTTTCCCTGGGTGCTGGGAATCGGGAATAGTGATTGCCCCTGTATCTCCCTATGTGAGTGCAGATGAGACCAGTTTTCGTCACACATTGCCCCTCCTCTGTTTCATGTGACATGAACTCTTGGGGTAGTTTGGGAATGGGCTGGGTTTGCCCTGTTGGCCACCCATCAGGGAGATGAGGAGCATACTCAGTCTCAGACTCATCTCCCATAATGCAAAACTGAGAGCTACAGATACGCTTTCTTACCCACTACAATACATGCCAACATTCTGTACGGACTTTGAATGTATGTTTCACAACAACCTTTTTGCACTATATTCACCATAGTGGTACACAGTTTTGTTATTTTGTTTATTTTATTATTTATTCTCTGTTACATTAGTTTTTTTTATTATTACTGATATTCCCTTGCTGACTTCTACTTTACCAGGGTTCACTTACATTAGCACCTATGTAACGGTAGATCGTTGAGTCCGATACCTGCTATGACTGACGTCAGTAGTTTATCCAGCGACCTCGCTGTAATCCCGTCTGTGCCCGCGGGGGTCGCTGTGCCAGAGCACGAAGTCAGCGCTCCGTTCGCGGCTGAGGGCAGGGGAGGTGTCTCTCGGTCCGGAAGCGGAGGGAGATTTGAAAGTTTTCATGATGAATTTGGGCAAGTAGCCCCAATAGTGAACTGGGCTTGATTAGCCTGAGTATTACCTCAGGTAGCAGTCAGACAGGAGTCGGGAATGTAGCACGTAATGTCTGGTTACTCAGTTAGCATCGCTAGCCGATGTTAGCCTGTTAGCTGTTAGCAACAGCGGCGTCGCTTGGTTGCTGTGGACGCCAGTTAACCACCACTAGGCAGAAGCCGACTGGTTTAGTGTACCAGATGTACTAACGAGCACCGTCTTCGGTCCAGGTTCACTTCTGATGTTAAAATGGCAAATTCATCATAATATTTCCGCCCGCTTTTTCATTTCAACACGCCGTAAACGCGAAAAGCACGAGCGTTGCGTGTCTGTTTCGTGTTAGGCAGGTAGCTGCGTGGATGTCAGGATCACTGTTATCCGCGAGGGAAGATGGAGCTGCATCTGGAGGTGATGCTGGTTACCAGTATCAAGCGCAGGAAGCCGTGGCCGCGGTTCTGTTGGCTCGGACAGGTAGGTGGGACACCACTAGGGTTGCCACCTTTTGATTTGTGAAAAACCGGGACATTTTGGGGGGGAGGAGGGATATATCCATTTTCGCAAATATACTATTGGCCTCTGCGCTCACTCTAGCCCCTGCTGTCTCTTTCTACGTAACGAGTAAACATATATATACACTAGCAAACTGGACTATATATGCATGTAGTCAAATTATAATCTATTGCAAAACCCAACCCTAATATGTCCAAAGGTATACTCCCTTTACCAATGAAAACATTATTAGACATATTATAATAAATTATAAACAACTTCATGACTTTTGACAACCTAACACTGACATTTCACACCTCTTTTCCATGTATATTTCTCTTCCCTTTTTGCTGCCTGCAGATGTCCCTGCTGTCCCTCAATGAATGCTTTAAACTCCAAACATGATATGTTTAATCTAACCTGATGTGCTTTGACCAAAAGTTGCAACGGGTACATTTTTTGCATTTGCTGAATACAAATCAGTGGTGCTACTTTGTTTTTGCATAATTGTCAAGCACCGTTTTTCCTTCATATTTGACTGGACACAAAACATGGCAGAGACACGAGGCAGGGGTGGGGGGTATTCCACAATGCAGTCTTTTTTTCATTATCCAGATAACTTAAGCCAAATGTAAGGACTGTCCAATAAGAAGGTTGCTTACCTCTCCTCCTATTGGACAGTTTTCATGTTTGTCTTAAGTTATCCAGCTGACTGGGAAATTCTGCTTTGTCGAAAACTCCCCAGTCGCCTTAGTTGGGTTTTACCTATTCAGAAAAGTTTTCTCTTTTCGCCAACTCTGTGTTGTACATTGTAAATTGCCATTTCTTTGACGTTTTGTGAATTTCAAAAAACCGACAAAAAAAAAAAATTAAGATTTTAAAAAATAATATTATACCTAGCTAGCAATTTTAAGTCACAGTGGGGTCGTGGATGTGGATGCATGCGGCTGACTGACAGCCCGCGCAGTTGCTAGGTAACAGGTAAGCTTCGTATTTATGCTACCAATCAAATAAAAGTACAGACAAGGCCAATCATCGTTGTTTTACCCGTTCTAAACCATTTACGGACGCAGGATTGCATGTATAAACATAACCAGGAAGAAAAAAGAATAGCGGTAGAAGGAAACCAAGTGAGGTTTTAATTGAAACTACGAAATTCTAAACTAGATGTACATCTTCTCAAAAAACCAGGACAGGTGACAATCCTGGGAAAACCAGGACAGGGGACAACCCTATCTACCCCCCGCTTTACAGATGCAGAGATCACTCCCTGTTAATCTCAGCTCATGATTACCTCCTGTTAACCTATGAGCAGGATAACCCCTGTTAAATTATGAGTAGGATTCCCCCCTCCCCTGTTGAGCAGTGAGCAGGATCCTGTCCTTCTATAATGAGTGTTCTGTCACTCCACCGGATTCCTGACCCTATGGGTTGGACCCTCACTATACACAGGTTATGTTTTGTCCCCCAGGAGAAGGAGGCTGTGTTTGTGCTGGACCACACAAGGATCAGCGAGATCGACATGGCATCAGGGCGGACCAAGAGAAGAACCCCCAAACTTCAGCCGCTTCTCCCCAGGGTGGTCGCCATGGCAGCGTCCCACAATGGTGCCGAGCGCCCCTGGGCTTCAGATGTGGGGTCTCTGGTGGTCGTGGGGTCTTCATGGTCATGTCCTGGTTCCCCTAGGTGCCTGGCTGGCCGGCCTGCTGCTCTCTGGGGAGGTGTTTTTGTGGAATAAGGACAGGGACTTTATAAAGACTGTGGCCCCAGTGCCGGCTGTATGCGAAATGGCCACCATGGCTAAGGGTAGGTCTATGTGTGTGAGTGTGTCATCGTGTGGTGAGCTGTGGTGACACCTAACCATAGTGTGTGACCCCCCCGTGTGTGTCTCGGTGTGTGCAGAGCGATCCATGAGCCCGTCTTTGCTGGTCTCGGGGGATGGCCGCCGGCTCCTCCTGGCTGCTCTGACGACGCGGGTCTTCCTGTGGGAGTGTGTGGATGCGCGGGGGCTGGGGGGGCTGCGGGATGGCGAGGCGAGGGGCCGCTGGGCTGAGATCCTGCCTCCTGAATGCCCTTCCCTGCCTTCGCCGGTGGACAGAGAGGCCTGCCTGCACTGTGCCTTTGTGCAGGGGGAGGTGAGGAACCTCGGATGACCTTTCTGGCTGGGGGGAGCCAGCCCAGTGCTGACCCTGTCCCTGCCTCTGCTAGGCCCTGGGCGACTGCTGCCTGTCTGCGTTCGCTTACATCGCGGGGAACCAGCTGGGTGTCACCTTCCTGAAGATTCGCTGGGAGGAGGGCCCCGAGCGCCGGCTCAGGTGAGGGCCTCGGCGGGGGCCCGTGTGGGGGGCCGGTGCAGCCCCCGGAGAAGAACTGTACTTGCTGATGCCTTACTGTGTTTTTAGTCCGCAGGGGTACAGCGTGCGCTGGGCCACACAGCTGTACCCGCTGGACAGCCTGCATCCCCCCTGCCGCCCTGTGAAGTCCCGGGGGGGCCTGCTGTGTGCCCTGTCCCCTGACGGGCTGCTCTTGGCTGTGACCCTGAACCAGAGGGACCCCAGAGTAGGTGGAGTGCTGGGTGGACAGCCAATCAGCATTTTCTGTTCATTACACGTTTCTTATGTTTATTCCTATATTGCGCATCTTGTCCCTGATGTCCCTACTGTCCTGTATCACTCCGTATGTCTGTCCCCTCCCACGCAACTGTGGCATAAGAATTTCACTGTTACTCTAAAGGCATGTGACACTGAAGCTTGAATCCTGATGTGTATGTTTCATAGACTTTGATCCTGCATCAGCGTCTGACCATGTTCTGCTTTGTTCAGGCCACCCAGGTTCTATTCATCAGCACCCAGAACCTTGTCTCTGTGCCCAGCTGGCTGGGGGGCTGCGGAAGCAGAGACCTTGCCATCCCCGCCAAGTATGTCAGGTGAGTGCGTGCTGTGTCTGTGTCAAGGTGGTGGGGGGGCATATTGTCTGGTTCTGGGTGCTTATGGGATGGAGTGTCTGCCCCCCACAGGTCGTACTGGGTGGCGGATGTGAGCTGGAGTGCAGGGGGGCTCTTCCTGGCCTGTGTGCTGAAGCGGGGGTCCCTGCTGCTTCTGGCCCGGCTGGGGGGGCTCCTATCTCTCTCCACTTCAGGTTGCAGCGTGGAGCTCGGCCCCGCCCACTTCCTGCCTCTCCACCCACTGGTCACCTACAGGTGAGCCCCCCCCCCCCCATGCGCACACACACACAGCCGTTACCACTAACTGTGGTACGCAAACTCTGCTTAAACTCCTCTCTGCAGACCCCCCCAGGCCCAGCCGCAGGACGCTTCCCCGCCCAGCTCCTGTGCCTCTGCTCAGGACGTCCTGCGGCAGCGATATTCCGTATCCTGGCACCCCCAGTTGGCCTGCCTCGTCGTGTCTGATGGCTACACGGCGACTGTCCTGCGCATCCCCCGCCGGCCCTCTGCCGCTGCGTTCGTCGGTGCCCTCCTCCTGGACGCCATGGAAGCCTTGGAGGTGTTCCAGCAGGGCGTGGCTGGCTCCCAGGGGGTAAGCAGATCCTCTTTTGACGAGGCGCCCCGCGCTCAAATGCTGCATCTGTACCGGCCTCCGTTGTGACCTTCCCCTGACTCTAGCAGGAGGCGCTGTCCACGCTTAAGCTGCCGAGCAGCCTGCAGGAGCTCCGTGGGGGTGACGCGCTTGACACGGACCTACCCCGCTTCCTGCTGGGGGGCGACTCGGGCACACAGGCCCAGGTCAGCGTGCTCTTTGGTTCGCTTTGACCGGCTTGCTCTCCATTCTGGTTTGGAGAAGCGCTCCACTAAAGTAGATTGAGCCCAGGGCCCCATCTGACACCCTCTGCAGGTGGCGGCTGAGGAGGACTCTGATGACGAGGGCAGTCAGCTTCCTGGTCCATGCGTGGAGATGGAGGGGAGACTGGAGTTCGCCTCTATGTTCGACACTCTTCATGCTTATCCTGACCAATCCCACGACCTCACAGAGGCGGAGCCTGAAGCCCCACCCCTACTGGTGAAGCTGTCACATGCACGGAGGAGCCTGCTGACGGCCTGGGCGCTGGGTGTGTCACTGGGGGGCGCCATGGAGCACCGTGCTCGTCTGCTGAGATATGCGGTGCGCTGTGCCCTGCGGTATGCCGTTCTCCTGCGTCTCGCTCCTTTCCCAGCATCCCGTGGGCCAGAGATGGTGCAGGACACCTGGCTGTCTCGTGTTCTGAACCTGCTGCAGACCCTTCTCTACCTGCTATCGTGGGACACGCCCCATGTGGGCGGAGCCACCTGCCTGGGCGTGGCAGTGGAGCTGACAGAGCAGGTGGTGCGCCTGCTGCTGTCGCCTCAGGGTGGCGGTGCTGCTCCATCCTCCTACACCCTCTCCACTGCCCTGCTGGTTCTCACCCTGGCCTCCCAGAGTCTTGACCAAACCTACTGGCTTCCACAGAGAACCTGCTACAGCCTTCCTGAGCACCAGGGAGCTCCATCTTCTGTCCCTCTGTTTGATGTCTTTTCTGTCTCACTGCTGAGGGAGGCACAGTGGAACCCCCTTCAGAGGTTTTCCCAGAATGCTCAGCTCATGGGACGACATCCTTCCCGAAGGTATTGCGGGATACCTAATTTTCTTTAGAATTTAGCTTTGCTTCTGAACTGTTTTTGTTGTTCCTGCAGGAATCATGCCTCGAAGAGGGCTGTACTTGTATTGTGTTCAGTCCGGAAGCACCTGTGCTTGGCTAGAGATTTATCAGTACTCCCCCTACAGGTTGCTGAGGGTGTGGCAGGAGCTGTACACGACGGCGCTGCAGTGTGCAGATGGGCTGTGCTCCCAGCCAGGACATGGCAGCTGTGAAGAGGAGCGGCACAGCATCTCTGATGTCCTGAACCAGGTGCAGCGGGTCCTGCAGGCAGCCGGAGCTCAGCTGGAGGGGGGCCCTACACTGTATAGGGTCACAGGTCCGAATCCAGGCTGTATCCCGTCCACTGTCTCAGTGCATGTGTGTGCGGCTGTGTTCAGGCCGTGCCGGTGAACAGCGTGTCCACGTCGTGGCTCTCCCTGCTTCCAGGTGAGCAGCACTTCCTGTCGGGCTCATATGCAGACGGCGTCCAGGCGTGGGTCACTGAGCTACTGGCGGACCGAGGCGGAGGTGTGTGGGGGGGAGCCCTGGTCTGCATCTGCGGTCCGGTTAATGTGGCAGCCACTGATGCTCCCTCTGCCCACCAGGGCCGCGCTCCTGCTTCCTGGAGACCCGGTACTGCCTGGCGCTGCTCTACAGCCTGCTCTTCCGGTACCGCTTGAGGGAGGCCCAGGGGTTCTGTGACCAGCTGGCCCAGAGGCTGGTCCGGAAAGCGGGGCTGGAGGTGGAGGATGAGGCCCAGGCAGGCGGTGAGGCTGGGTGTTGTGTGTGTGGAGGGGGTGGCGGGTGGCTGTCACTGTCACTATCGCCATGGTGACGCCTTCATTACCCCTCCGTCCAGCCGCACAGGCAGAGTCGGCCCTCACTGCCCGTCTGCAGCAGGTGAACAGCGAGGCCATCTACGCAGTGGTGCAGTCACTCGGTAGGTTCATGGCCTCCTACTTCACCAACCAACCGCTGGCCATCATGCCCCCCCACTGCGTGGACGTTCTGCCCCCCCTGCACCTGCCTCCAGGTGGGTCTGGCTTCCAGCTGCTTCCAGGCTTGCACGTATGTTACACGTGTGTGCGCTCACTGCCTGCGTGCTCGCGTGTGTGTGCAGCCCCTGGCCAGAGGCTGGTGCCCCTGAGCCAGATCTCTGTCACGGAGGCGGTGCGGAGTCAGGAGCTGTCGGGGGTGTGGACCGTGGGCTACGCCCTGGACCTTCTCCTCCTGGGGGGGCTTCTTCCCGAGGCTGCATGGTTCGCCCGTCGCCTGGGAGACTGGAAGACGGCCGTCTCCCTGGGCGTGACTTACACCGGCTACTGTAGGGATGAGACCCGCCTCACAGGGTAAGTGTGCCAGTCTGCCGGGGTGTGTGTCGTCTCTAGAGACCAACGATGATGTTCACCAAGTGCTTACTGCCACCCCCAGGCTACGATGGAAGGAACTGCACCTGCCAGGGGAACTGAACCCCAGACACATACTGCAGGAGCAGCTGGAGTGCGTGCTAGGCATGGAGGCACTGCGCAGCCAGCAGTGTGAGTGCTTGGCGGGTGTGTGCCCGCCTCTCTCAGGCTCCCTGGAGGAGGGCAGTATGGTTAGGCTCCCTGCCTCTCTGTTTGGGGTGCGCAGCCGTCATCGTGTGTCTGCCTCCCATAGGCTCCCAGGAAGAGGAGGACGATCATCTCCAGGCCTCGGTGCAGGACCTCCTCAGGGCAGCAGCCATGGCTGGGCTGGACGTGCTGTCGCAGCCACTGCGCCACCTGGTGGACCGTGCCAGGATGCTGGGGTCCTGCCTGCCCGCACTGGTGCCCGGTGGGCTATACCTGCCTGCCCCTCCGCTGTATTGCCCCCAGCCTGCCCCAGACCCCGATGTATGTGCCACAGTACGGTAACGTGATTGGGGTTTGGGGTCTGTGCCTTGGTTAGGCACCGCATCGGTTTGTCCTTTGCTGCTTTGCTCCAGGACCCCGCAGGAGAAGGGCCACTGGCGCTGGAGCGGCTATCCCGTCTGCAGGTGTCTGCCGTCCTGCAGAGGGTGCTGTTGCTCCTGAGGGCCGCTCGCTGCTGCGTCCCTGCTGCCCAGTGGTACACGGCACAGCTGCGCCACTGTCGCCGGGTGATGCGGAAGGTATGACAGTGGGTTCTAGACAGAAAAAATGTTAGGAGCCATTGGCTCCCAAACCCAAAATATTTCAATATTTGAGTCAAATGGTTTTTTTCTAGGAGCCATAATCTCCATAACATGTCATATGTGAAATAAATAAAAAAATACTTATATGGCACATTTTGTTTCCAGTCCACCTCACTCTGCCTTTTCTTTCTCCTATCCGCGCTCTCTGATCTGCCTACTATTGCCTTCTGCATTCTTATACATCAGAATAATAATAAATGACACAGAAATGTGCAATATATGATACGCAATATGTAAGAAACACAGCTGGGCTGTTGAACATGAAGTGCACGCACAAACATTGAAATATTAATTAAAATTTGCCTGTAAATAAACCTAGAAAACCATGGGGTGTTGCTTGCTTTTGTTGAAAGACGTTATAGCCAGAAAACTGAATATAAAGCTAACTGTGCTGCTGTGTCATGGGGTTTAACCCCAAACCCACTCCCGGGTATACCTCCCTGCTGTTTAACCCCGAACCCACTCCCGGGTATACCTCCCTGCTGTTTAACCCCGAACCCACTCCCG